TTGTAGAGATCCTCCAGTTCTTTGGTTAAATTTATTCCCCAGTGTTTATTTTTCATAGCTGGTGTGAACAAGATTGCTCTCATCAATTTTACCATGAGCATGTTAATTTTTGCATGTGGATTTTGTGTTCCATAATGGTCGGTGCATCTGTAACGATGCCAAGACTGTCAGTGGGGCTGGCGCTGACAGGCTGATCCATCGCTGTAAAGTCCCATTCAAACCGGTTTTCCTCCCACAACACTTGGGTTTTATTTTAAGTTATGGTAAAATATGTCATCATTTGACTCCCTTTCACCATTTTAAGTGTGCAGTTCTGTAGCGTTAAGTATATTCAGATCCGAGCAACTGATCCTCAAAAATCTTTCAACTTACAAGCTTCCCGCTTCTCCTGCTGCCCAGTCCCTGGCGGTTGTCACCGGACTTCCTGTTTCTACGAATCTGACTATTGTTGGTACCTTGCATAAGTGGAATCATCAAATACAGTCTGTTTAGGAAAAGCAGAATCCATGATAGATTCTTTTCCTTTAGAGTAAAAAGCAAGCATAAAAAATGGCTAATGCACTCAAAAATACCATCAGGAATACTGATCAAATGTGTCGATGTGTTCCAATCCACTGAAGCCTCTATGTGGCTTGGTCCTCACGTGGTCTCCTCTCACGGGTCCACTCAGGGTGGCTCCTGGGCCTTTGTTTTTCCAGCTGTGAACCATTCCGCATTTAGCTATAACCCCTGATGTTTGTATAGCACTGGTGTTGTGCTTAGGCAAACATCTCTTTATCTCAATTTCCCTTCCCCATGCAAAGAAGTGGGACAGCTCGAACTATAAAAACATTCCTGCTCAAAATCCTGTTTCTGCAGCATTTCCACATACGGTTCACTCATTTACTCCCAGTCCTGTGACCCAAAGCAAGTTAATATTTCTTTTTACAAACTTGGGACTTGCCACTCAGATGACAGTATTTTTTCTATTTTTCCTAGTAGATAAACTGTTGTGACTTTCAACTGGGAGAATTGTGTTCCCCAGTGACTTCCAACAATTCTTGATTGTCGTATGTATTAGTCACTTTTCTAGCACTGTAGCAAAATACCAGAGACAATCAGCTTATAAGAAAGAAAATTTATTTTGGCTCAGTGGTTTCAGTCCAGTGTGGGTTGCCTGGTTCTGGGGACTGTGAGGCAGGAGATGATGGTAAGAGGTGATTGCGGAGGAAGCTGCTTGCTTTATGTCAGGAGAGAGAAGGGGGAGGGATGAGGAGCTGGGATCCTGCTATCCCTGCCCAGGCTTTGCTCCTGACCATCTAACTCCCTCCTGCTAGGGCTCTGCTAGTTCCTAAAGGCTCTGCTACCTCCCAGTGCCTCCACAGGGAGGGTCTCAGTGACAGCTTCAACACATCGGCTTCTGGGGACACGTAAGACCCAAACCCTGACACCGCTTCTGGGGGGGTGCTCCTATGTGTAGTGAGGGGACCCTGGGGAGGCTGCCAACCCCAACAGTTAGAGCAGCCCGGTCCTCTCCACCCTTGGCACAGCATCAATGTTACCCTGTCGCAAATGTGCCAAACTTGATGAAATCCAGAAGGACAAAAATCATACTCTATACAGGTCCATGTTTGCTCAAAGAAAAGACTTATACAAATGTATGCACGTAAGAATTCAATTCCGTGGACAGTGGAACCTGGGACGTCCTGTTTTCAACCCACACAGAACCCAAGTGTCTGATCTTGGCTTCCCCTTTGGTCTTATTCCTGGCTCTTACTTTGCCTCCTGAGACCTGTCTATTATTGGCCTAACGAAAGATTAATGGGAAATATTTACTGCTTTTAACCAATGGAAAAAACTTTTAAATAAAACCCTGGTTTATTTTAACCCAGAAAATACTTTCTGACTTTTTAACCCAGAACATAAACATTAAAATCTAATCTTAAGGTTTTAAAAAATCCAATTCGTTTTGGCCATCCTGAGGGATTAAATGAATGTTTTCAGTAACTTTCACATTGTGCACTGCCTTTTAGTCATTAAAATTATCGCCTTCGTCTGCCTCCAGCTTGTCCTGTGAGGTGCACCTGCCTGTATTCTCTCCGCTGCATTTGTGCTGATTTAAAAGAATCCAGTTGGGGAAAAGATACATTTGCTATTGCAAATGCCAGCATTAATTGTCCTTTCCTATTCAAACAGCCAGTCTATGAATTAATATTTTATGTGATTTTGAATGATTTTTCCAGTGGGATTGACATGCATGCTAGGCAAATGTTGTACCACTGAGTTACATCCCTGGGCCTGAAACTGATTTAAAACAGACACTGAATTTGTCAGACATAAAAGCAAAGTTCCCCTCCCTTTTATTAACTTTTTTTTTATAGTAGTTTTTTTTTTTTTTTTTTGGTCTTTTTCCTTTTCATCGGTACCAGGGATCGAACTCACGACTGCCTGCTTGCAAGGCAGGCGCTTATGCCGCTGAGCTAAATCCCCAGCCCCCCTTTTTTAACTTTGAAAGAGGTAGCAAATTAGGTAAAGCAGGTGCGTTTATTTGCTTATTCATATCCCTTAGTCTCTCAGTGCCTCTTATGTGCACAGCCTGTCTGGTTTTATGCAAAAAATAAAACTTTTCTACCACATTATTATCTTCTTTTTGTCTTCTGTGTTTTCTTAGTCAATGTTAATGCTTTTTCTCAACTGGGCATGCTCATCAGTGACAAATTTGGCAATATGGTACTTCAAGGGTAAATACAAAGAACATTGCTTGGTCTTTAAAAATTCCAGAATAATTTCTAAATTTTCTATAGTGCTGAGCCCAGTTTACCTTGGAGAAGCACTACCTGACATTGGTTTTTTTCTTTTTCTTTCTGAGATTTATAATCCAGGAAAAAAACAAGACATAACTTTTGCCTCCAAAACTATATTTTTAGTTATTTTATTTTGCTATGTACCCTTCATGGGCTCCCAGTATCCTTTTAAATAATCTAAAATTTCTCAGAGTCTGGGTGTTAAGTAGTATCAGCCATTATCTGTTCCACATCCCTAATAGTTCAATTAATAAAATCAAGGTTATTATAGTTTATTAAAATTCCATTAAATGTAGGTTGGAGATAGATGGAGAATGGAAAAGGAAGGGAAATTATTTTATATCATATCATGGAGAGTTAGATTTTTAAATTCTGGCATCACGGGAGGGATAGCAAAAGTCTTTGTAAAAGTGACATTTAAAAAAAAATTAAGTAACACTCAGGCTGGTCTCCACGAAGGCCAGCTCCCTGCTTCTTTTGATAGAGATGGCAGTTGGTGGCTCAAATCTAGGATTTAGGTTCCCTTGCCCAAGAGAATGAGCGCCCTTCATCCAGGGCAGGGTTTCTCAATCTTGGCATCTTTGGCTTCGGGATAGGATAACTCTTTGTTGTGGGGACTTGGCAGCCCTGGGCCTGCCTCTGTCTCCTCATCTGTATATTGGGTGTGTCACAAGATCATGACTTTGAATGTTATCACCTAAGCACTTTGCACTAATGCATGAAGTAGTTGCTGCTTACTAAGTGCTGATATTGATCTTAGTAACTAGGATGCTGAGCCTGGCTCTCTCAAGGTCCTGGAGGCAAGACCTGGGCTGAAATCAAGGTACCAACAGGCCACACGCCCTGTGGGGGCTCGCAGCAGAACCTTTCCCTTCCCTCCTCCAGCTTCTGGGGCTGGCACCCCGTCTTCTCCCTACAGTCATGCCGCCTCCTATCTCTCATTTGCAAGGACACTTGTGGTTGGCAGTTAGAACCCATTTAGGAACCAGAATATTCTCTCCTCAAATCCTGAGTCTAACTACATCCACAAAAACCTTACCATACGGGGGAGAGTTCCGGGTTCCAGAGATCAGGGGCCCGTACCCCGTGGGTGCCACCAGTTCATTCACAATCCCTAAGCCTTTTCTTCCCCAGTGAAGCTCTGGGCTGGGCAGATACCCCACAAGGTGTCTTCCAGAAGCCAGAGGGACGGTGCTTCTGCAACACTGCCTCTCAGCTCCCTCTGGGACCTTTCTGGTCCCCTCTTTTTTTTTTGGCTTTTCATTTGTCCAACAGTCAGGAAGAAGCAGGGAGCGTGATGGAGAAAATGCCCGGCCAGGGACGGGAGACTCGGAGAACCACCAGGTGGGTGGTGCCCCATGCCCCACAGCTGGTCCCTAGGCTCCCTCCTGCATTTGCATTTGGAAAGGGAAAGAAGGAGACTGGGTGCCACTGGCATTTCCAGTTCAGAAGGGAATTCACCTCCTGACAGCTGGGAACTTGTTGAGAAACTTCCAGAGCCTGAGAATTTTCTCTTCCAACCAGGCTCCCAGGCAGGGACCCCCCACAGTTCATTCCACACCCGCCACCACCAGGAAGGCACCCTTTGAACTCAGGGTCCCCTCCGAGGCCAAGGCCCTGACCCCCAGACCTCGCTCCCCACTCTGTCCCGCCCTCCAGGGCTGTGGCCCCTGGGCATCTCCCTCATTGAGATGCTTCTCTGCACAACTCAGCAGTTGCTGTCCCCTCTCGGAAGACATGCACAGCCACTGTCAGAGCTGGGGACAGATGACAGCCTGTGCTGAGCTCCCGCCCCGGCCGATTCCCAAAACAGGATGTGGGAAGGATGCGTGGAAGGGTGGAGAGCCCCAGCTGAAAAAACAGATCTTTCTCCCTACACATGGATTCTTGGACACGCAGTTCCCCTTCAAAGCCCGCACAGGAGTCCTCTTCACGTGGAGCTGCACAGTAAGGTCCTGCAGCCAGGCCTGTGACCTCAAGTCTACTTGCTGCGATGTGGCTCGAGGTGTTTTAAAAATGCCTGCCAGCTTCAGTGAGCTCGCCTGAGTCTGCCAGTGGCACCAGGTTTGGGGACTGAGACCACGGGACAGCATACATGCCACCCTTGGCCCAGACTAAGTATTCTGTACCAATTAGTACCAGTTAGTGCCAAGTGTTGCTAGTGTTCCCCGAGCAAGACAGTACAGGAAGAGCTGCTAACATGGCTCTGCCATCAGGTGTGCTACATATAAAATATTTTATTACAAAAAGCTCAGTCCTGTGATATTTCAGAAGGAACCGAATGGGCCACAGGCTTCTCTTTTCCTGGCACACAGAAGGGACCCTAGTAAGTGGTATCAGTGAGGCTATCATCACACACATCAGGCGCCCAAGTCCATCAGGCCCGAGGCCCTCAAAGAACCGCCAGCATCAGGGACCCCAAAGAGCCACCACCCGGGTCCACCCTACCGCTCAACTGCTTCCTGCACCAAGTGGCCCCGTGTCCCTGGGGCCAGGCTGAGCCAGTGTCTCCCACGGCCCTGCTTCAGGATGCAGGAGAGAGGGGAAATGCACAGCTTGTTTCTTCTGGAACAGAACAGTCATAGAAGCAAAAGACACAGCCGCACTCTAAACACGCCGCTAGGGTCCTAGCTCAGAAGAGTCTGTCGCCACTGATGGATTCAGCATCAGGGAAGGAAGGGGATGGGGGGTCTGCTGCAGCCAGGAGCTGCAGCAGGGGGTCCTGGACTGTCCTCACAGAATCCCCCATCCCCGCGGGCCAGTGCCAATCGCCCCTCTGCAGCTCCGCTGGGCCCAAGCAGCTCGGCTGCAGTCTGCAGAGTGGACCGCGTGAGGCAGGAGGAAGAGAGAACCGCGGAGCGGGGTGTCAGTCGGGGGGCCGGGCATCGGGGGCCTTCTCCTGGACCTCGTCATACTGTGGCGGAGGGGTCAGCGGCTCGATGGAGACGGGTGGCACATTTTTGTCCGGGAGGTTGATCCTAAAGTCTTTGAGGTGAAGCTTCTCGGATTTGATCCTTCGAACCTTGAGCGGCTTCAGGCGCTTGGCTAACTTGGAGTTCTGTCTGCTGGGGGGGTTCCCGGGGCTCGGCTCCACCTCGGCCCTGGCGGGGGTGGTTTGGTCAGGGCCCGAGAGGGACTCGTAGGAGGGGAGAGAGACGCTCAGCCTGGGGTTCTGCTCCGTCTCCCTGGCTTCGGTGTAGCTGGTGTTCATCACCTCTTCGTAGCTGGGGACGTAGTACCTGGAGGAGGCCTCTTCTTCCTCCTCTTGGCTGCAAATACAGACACACAGGATGAGCACACGCTGGGGGAAGTCAAGGGCCCTGAGACCACACTGGGAGTCTGAGCTCAGCAGCTCAGCACAGAGGCCCTGGGTTCAATTCCCAGTATGGGAGTAGGGGTGGGGGATCCCAAAAAGATGGACTTCAGATCCCAGGTGGGCACTGAGCTTGCACTTGCCATTAGAGCCCAAATGGGTCCTAGGAACAAGGACAGCTAGTGTGCCTGCTGTTTACGATGATGGGCTCAGCCCTGGATCCAGTCTCAGCACCGCAAACTAAGTGCCATTCTTATACCCATTTTATGGATGGGGAAATATACATCAAGGTCAAACAGCTTAGTCACGCTTTCAGGAGAGAGACAGGTACAAGCTGAAGGCCACACTTCATCTACTATTACTTCGGTGTTAAACCTCCTTTGTCACTACATGCCATGTAGCCTGTTTACTCTAATGCCCAGCTAGATCCTGTGGCCAAAGGCAATGGAAAACTCTTTGAAAAGACTGCCAGTGTCAGGCCCAAAGCTGTCCCCCAGTAGGGAAGGAATATAAAATATAGTAGGAAAAAAGTACAGTTCATGTTTAAATTAAAATAAAAATCATTTCTATAAAAGATACACTGCCATTAATCTTCAAAATAGTCCCCAGTATTAAATATGCTTAGCTCATTAATCTTGCCACTTGCTTAAGAAGTTTTGGAAATCTTCATGTGTGAGTGTCTTTTGGTGGCTGCTGCCATGTCCTGAATTGATCCAAACATTTACTACGATTTCTACTGAATAAAAACATCCCAGAGACTAAAAACATCCCAGTGTCTCCGTTGGGTTTGGCACTGTGCAACTTCTGGCTCTTCCTCATAGCCAAAACGAAAGGTAAATGTTCTGAATGGATTCAGGACGTGGAGGCAGCCGTGACAGCACAGGTAAAGACACTTGAGAAAGGAGAACTCAGAACTGCTTCAGAAAGTGCGAGAACAGCGGGATAAGTGTGCTTGATGTGGTCGGGATGGGATTAGCGGCAATGCACCTTGTACTGTAATCTATTTTTAAAACTTAAACATCACCATATTCTTTTTGATCAAATCACATATGTGAGCCATAATATTTATATATAATTCAAATAATGGTGTAATTTTTTTCTTTCAAGTTCACCCTAAAACTCAAAGAGATCAGATCATCAGCCTCATTCTCATTTCTCTGTTGAAAAGGATGTCTCTATACACAAGGTGGCCAAAGCTGCCCACCAAGACCTGCAGTGGGGATCATGACCAACCTCAGACCCTGCCCTGCGCCCCCATTGGGAAGGGATCTGAATGTGCTCACGGTCTGGACAGGGAGCCACGGGCGAACAACTTTCCTCCCTTGCTCTGTCTGTATTTCCTGAGTTCTCTAGCATAGCCAGTGAGGTGATTAGTTTTATGTGTCTGACCAGGAGATCTCCAGATTGAACTTTATTTCTGGGGTGTCTGAGAGATCTCTCCCCAAGAGGCATGCATTCAATAGGCAGACTCAGAAAAGCAGTTTGGCCTCCCCAGGGTGGGTGGGCTCAGGCCCAGCTGCTGAGGGTCTGCACAGAGCAAAAGGAAGAAGAGGATTTGTCCCCTTCTCCTGCCTCACGGTAGAGCTGGGCCTTCTCTCAAAGCCTTCCTCAGACGGGGATTTAGTGTCTCCTTCCCTGGGCTCAGCCTTCAGCCATGGGCCGAATCACACCACTGGCTTCCCCCGGCTCCAGCTTGGCAATGGTATCACACAACGTTTGGGTCAGTGACACATAGAATGATGGCCCCATAGTCCATTCCACCTTGTGACACGGTGGCTGTCTTCGTGTACAGAAGGAAGCTATGTGAGGTTCATAGGACCAACTGCCTGGTCACGCACTGCACTGCTCGGGGAGCCTCTCGGTCACAAGCAGCACATGATTCTGAATCTCCTCCACTGATTCTGTTTTTCGGGAAAACCCTGGGGCAGCGTGAATCATCTTTTACTATAAGAAAACAAGTTCAACTTTTCCAGCATAAAAACAACTCCCTTCCTGAAGATAAGAAATACTTGTAGAAAAATGTAAACACAGAAAAATCCGATGGAGAAAATAAAAACATCCCAAACTTTCATCTGGAGAGAGTCCCAGAGAGTTTCTGGGTGGATGCCTCCCCCAGACCTCTGGAGCCCACACCGCCCCCAGTAGACACAAGAGGATCTCACCCGAGAGCCTGGGTGGCCATCTCCTTCCTCGGGCTGTGACACGGTCATGTTAATACGCACGGCATGCGGTGGCTGGGCATGCACTGAGCAGGTAATACATGATTTCCCTCCCTCAGTGGATAGCCAGGTTGCTTCTGAGTTTTGCTATTCTATTTTTTAAACTTTTGCTATTCTAACCAATGATCTCCAAAAGGGAGTTTATAGTGATAAACTCCTCCACCCTGTGTAACTGTGTTCTGAGGATAAAATCTTTACATTAGACTGGATGGGTATGCATCTTTAATACCACCCACTATGGCAAAACTCCCCAGAAATATTAGATCTGCCAACCCTCCCTTCTGTATCCTGCCTCCTCTCTAATGCCCCCAAATTGGGGGGGGGGCTGTCCATTTTGGCCAATATGATAGGTTAACAGTAAAATTATCTTTTTATTTGCATTTCTTGACTAATGAGGTTGAACAGCTCACTTCAATGAGCTGAGATGCTTGTTTACAACTTTGGTCCACCTTCTCTGCTTGGTGCATTTATCTCTCGGGGCTACTTATCAGGATTCCTTTTAAACTGGAGATCTCAACCTTCCTCACATGGTCCCAAATTTGTCACCTGTCTTCTTAGACATGTTTGTGGTGTTTGGGCAGATGCAATGCTGGCTCCTGACCTTTTGGAATCAGATCATACATACACGGTTCCTCCGGGTGACATGGACAAGTAACCACACAGGTGGCCCTGGTCACCCCGACCCCGTTCAGTTTCCCCGGGGCTGTCAAAATCGTGTCAGCCCTGTAACACGTTCGTACCTCATGGTCTGAGGAACCTTTTTCTAGAAGCATCAAGTTCTTTGTAAAGCGGAAAACTGTGTCACAGAGCCTTGGTGGAAAACAGCAGGAAAATCAAGCCTTCTACATTCCCACACGGTCACCCATGAAAGTGTGCGCGCGCCCCGCCTCTAGGCTGGCCCTGGGCGTCCTCACCTGTCTTCCTCCTGGACGTGAGGTGCAGCCCCAGCCTGCTGCTGGATGTGGGCCAGCTCCTCACCCTGGCGCTGCCGCCTCTTGTCGCGGATGCTCAGGCAGATGGACAGCAGCAGGAGCATTATCCCCGCGCCGATCAGCACGTAGGCCACCGAGAAGGTCTTGCTCTTGAGGATGCCACCACTGCCGCCACCCGCCTCAGTCTTATTCCCCTGTGCCGTCGGCTTTTCCGCGCCGCTGAAGCCAGGGACCAGGTTCCACATGGCCATGATGATCCCGAGGACCAGCATCCCCAGGCCGATGGCAGTCAGTGCATGGTGCGAGCCATTGGCTTTGGAGTGGGCCATCATGTCCGCAAGAGCAGGGCAAAGCCCAGGGCCGAGGAAGAAAATAAATAAATAAAAACCCTTCACGGGCGCTAAAGGAAATCTCTAGTGCCACATTAAAAAGTCATCCGCTGAACCCGCAAGGGATGGCTCCGCACAGACTTCGGGTGTCTCGTGCACACGGCTGCAGCTGAGAGCTCTGCAGGGACACAGAAGAGCGGAGAGAACATCAGTTCTGACCCGAGTGGCCTTTGTGCACACAGCGGCCCCGCTCCCGGCCGAGGTAGGAAGCAGCTGCGAGCCGTGGTGCTCTGGGCAGCTCAGCCTCGGCTTTGATGATCAGCTGTCCCCAGCTGGGTCCGGGCTCCCACACCGGCAGAGGAAGCTGACCCACCTATCTGCATGAGCAGGGAGAAGCCAGACCTCTCCTTCCAGGAGGCTGCGAGCTTTAATGAGCTTTTAATGACCTGCAGGAAAACCTTGTGCTCGCACGACAGGGTCCCCTGGTGCCAGAGCTGCGGCCTGCGGGGGTCCATTTACCATTCTTGCGGGCTCCCCACTCCCAGCCCCTGCCTCCCTGTCCCCTCTCATCTGCCGATCTCAGCACCCCCCCCCCCCAGCACCCGCAGTTTTCAGGTCCCCTGTAAGCTCCACCAGCTACCGTGGCAAATCTATTTCTTCTCGTGATCACATCGTCACCGGTAAGCCTGGCACATGAATGGAGACCAAATCCCCTGCCAAGACAAGCGTTCCTCAGCCTTAAGGACCTCCTTGCATTTTCCCTTCTCCTCTCCCCTTCTCTTCCTTTTCTTTTATTTTTTGTGATACCAGGGATTGAACCCAGACCCTTCAAACTAAACAACAGCCCAGTCCCTTTTAATTTTTTATTTTGAGACAAGATCTCACTAAGTTGATGAGTTGACCAGTCGGGGCCCAAGCTTGCAATCCTCCTGCCTCAGCCTCCCAGAGTGCTCTCAGACCCTGAGCTCATGGAAGAAGCCAGCAGGCCCAGGAGAATCAATGAGGCAGGGTGTTATCACCTGATGCTTGAGGTTAGCGCAATTTCAGGGACCTCTAGGCTGGGGAGATAGCTCAGCTGCATAAGTGCCTGCCTGACAAGCACAAGGTCCTGAGTTTGAGTCCTGGTACCAAAAAAAAAAAAATTTCAGGGGACACCAAGGGGTGCAAGCAATGCTCTTTGCCAACCACCCCTTGATTAGCTATTCCCACAGCAGGAAATTCTGCCAAACAGTAAAACTCAGCTGACATTTAGTTGGGCGAGGCCCTGTTTTCAATCCCACGTTCTTTCCAGTTTTCCCACAGGGACAGCTAACCGGGCCAGGCGAAACTTGATGCTGCCGAGCTATTTTCTTGTCAAACCACAGCCTTCATCTGAAACTGGCCGCTCTGATAAAAGATCCTCCACAAATATTTGGGGCAACATCGTATATCAGCTTGAGGTCTCTGCCTTCTTTTCTCCGCCCGACAAATATTTCTCATGCCGCATCTCTGTGCCCCCTGAGCCGCGCAAGGCCCTGGGAAGCAGGGTGAGCAAGTCCAGGCAGCGGGAACAGGCTCTCCCAGGAACGGCAAAAAATGAGAATAAAGCACAGGCCCTGTGGCATTAGACTATAAACTCCTACACCCTGGCCTCTGTGATTCCAGCTTCCCGGGCTGATGCAGTATAAAAATATTCACTGCAGCTTCCTACTAGTGAGGAGCTGAAAACCACTAAAATAGTCAATAATCCAGATCTGCATAAATGCATGAGGCTAGCTCACCCGTTACATTACAGCCACACACAGCCAGTGGGACTTTTACAGTCAAGTGAGGTTAAAACCACAGTGCATCCAGTACAGTTCTCATTTCTTTAAAAAAAAATTCTAGAGAAATACACAAATATATAGGAAAAAAGACTGGGTGATTATACTTTAAAAAAATTTAAAACACGCTATATTTTTAAATATATAAACATGTGTGTTAAAATCCTACAGGGAGGTCTAGGGATTTAGCTCAGCTGCATAAGCGCCTGCCTTGCAAGCGTGAGGTCACGAGTTCAATCCCTGGTACCGATAAAAGTAAAAAAAAAAAAAAAAAAAAAAAAAAAAAAAAAAAAAAAAAAGAAAAGAAAAAGAAAAAGAAAAAGAAAAAAAGAAAAAAAAAATCCTACAGGGGCCGAGCACATTCTGAACTTAAACCTAGGATTGCTTCTTGGGCTGGAGAGGTAAAGGGGAACTTCTGATTCATTTCTGGATTTTTAACGTTTGATGATCAGAAGCAGCACAGGAGGGCAGTGAAGGCAGAACATGGTGGCAGGTTAGCGGGGTGCTTGCTGGTCTTTGTTCTTCCTCAGCTGTGTGGCCCTGGGGCAGTTACTCAACCTCTCTGTGCTTCAGCTTTCACAACTGGAAGATGGAGTAGTTGCTCGTACACACCTCCAAGGGAAGGTGTGATGGGGAATAAGGAAAAATGCCCAAAGAACCTGGAACAGTACGCAGCTAGAGCCTGAGATCTTACTGGGGCGAGATCATCCGCAAATGGCACAAACATTAGTTTTGGGGGGTGGGCAAGGTGAAAAATTCTAGATATTGCAAACGTGCGTTGCCCAACAGATTCCACAGAAAGACTCCTTAGGAGAGCGACGTGGAGGGAAGGTTTGGGAAACAGTCTTTACTCTGTTTCCAAACGCTCAAATGAGACATGCCATGATGCTCCTAATTATTTCTCCGCTGTGCTAGGACTAAGGATGATTTTTCGTTTCTTTTTCTTCCTGGGGGAGTAGGAGGTGGGAAGGAGAAATGTTCGTGGGTTGATTTCACAAGGAGAAGGTGAAAGGCAGGGCTCCGTCCTTTGTCCCACAGTGGCTTAAACTCGCGCTCAGGCCTGGTCTTCCTTTTGTGGACTGGGCTCCGCCGTGTCCCCTGGGCTCTGTGAAAATGCAGCCCAGCTGGCTGCTGTTTACCCCCTGCCCGGCTTGTTGACCTTGGACGCCATCTGGGTTATATTTAGCGTGCTGTTGTTTCCCCCAGAAAATCCATGGAAAGAAGCTAAATTTGGGCTTCGAAGATGTGGACCACACGGTTTCCAAATGTGTCCCTAAATGGAACAGGCTGATCTCTGGCCCCAGGATGGACCTCACCTTCATGACGCGTGGTCCAGGGAGTCCGAGGGACAAAACAGGGAACGTTGTCTGGATCCCTGAGACAGATCTTTAGCCAGTTAAGAGAGTGACCTACCTGTTGTCACCGGGGGCGGCTCCCAGCAGACCTGCACACAGCTCTTCATGCTAAAATCCCGAGTGGAGGATCCACCTGTCAAAGCGATCAGAGAGAGAGGCAGTGTTCTAGGAAAGCTGTGAGCGCTTTAATTTCATGAGGTGTCCATTGGGGAGCCCACAGGGTTTGGGTGGCTCCAGAAAGAAAGGGAGTCAGAGAAGTGGATGCACGATCCAGAACTGCACACGGGGGCAGCAGAAGGGAAAGATGAGTCTTGTGGTGACGGGGTCCACCAAGCCCTCTTGGGGCTCGAGGAAAGGCGGGGGCACTGCCGGTCCCCGGGGGAGGAATGCACAACCCGGATAGCCAGGCACGAAGGACCAGCTGGGAATGGAGCAGCACGGAGCCCTCCGATCTGCCAGCCCCGAAACAAACATGGTCAGCAAAGCAGCAGGGGTGGAATCCAGCTTTTTGTCTGAAGGGGCTCATCAGGGATGGAGTTGGGTTCATCTGAAGAACACAGAGCTGGCTCAGTATGAGGGACTCAGATGCCACCTCCCAAGAGACAGGGCCACAGCAGTGTCACCCAGTGGAGGACTGCACAGCAGGGATGAGACATGGGCACAAGGAGGCAGGCCTGACACACATGAATGGGCCACGGGCTGCAAGCTGCAGAGCGCGCCCAGTGTGCTGGCCCCTCCGTGACGCCCCACCAAGCAGAGCAGTGCCCTGAGATTATGCCCCAAACTTCAGGCTAACCACCACCACCTGCAAGATGAAACACGGCCCTGGGGTGGGCTGGGGCTGAAGACTACTTGGGTGAAGTCACAGAGTCAATATATTCTCTTTTGATTGGCTGAAATATTTCCAAATAAGAATTTTCCCAACCTATCCATGTTGTTCCTTTCTCTTAGCATGAAATGCAAACTCCTCCCTCGCAGCAGTCAAACCTGCCTCACCTGACAGGGCTCCTGTCTCCTCATTGTTTATCTGCTAGCTCAGTGACTTCCATTCTCTTTTATCACACCACACACTTTCTGCCACAGGGCCTTTGCATTTGCTGTTCCCACAGCTTGAAAACACTTTCACTGTCTTTTGTTTGACTGCTCCTTTTGTTACCTTTGTCTCTCGGTCCAGGATCACCCCTATCTGCAAAATGTCCCCCGTTTCCCCAGCTGCTCAGTCCCTTGGTGGCATCCTCCTCACAGATGGGCGACACTGTGTCACCATCTATGATTAGGTCTTTTTTGCTTTCTTGGTGATTCCCTGAAAGAAGGTTCTTGTCGTTGCTTTCCTTGTTGAAAGCTGCCACCCAGCCCCTGCGCCAGAATTTAACAAGTATCTGATAAATGTGTGTAAAATGAACACTGAGTGCCATGTGAGTTTAAACGTTTAACCGACGCCCCTATCACTGGCAGGGAGCCCTCCACCGAGCTGGGCATCCAGGGGACGGGGCAGTGACAGCAAACTCTCCGGGCTCCTGGACACCCACATCTTGACTCTGCATGCACATGATTTCCTGGCAACGTGGGTGCAGAACAAATGTGACTTCCATGGGGACAGATGGCCAGCACATCGGTATTTCCTGGTGGGGTCTGAGGTTTCAGCGGCTCCCTGGCCCTGCACTTGGTCACATCCCTTGTCAGGGTGGCAGGGAGCGCTGTGCCCAGGGCAGGAACTTCCGGCTCCGGGTACCAAGTGCTGCACCCCGCTGGGCCCCAAGTGGGACTGGAGCCGCAGGTCCAAGCTGGGTCTCCGTGAACCAGGGTGGACACAACTGAGCATCCAGGACTGGGGTGGTTGCTCAGTGGTGGAGCGCAGGCCTGGTGTGGTGGAGTTCCTGGGCTCCATCACAGCACGAAAACAGACAAACAAAAGCACAAATGATAAAAGCAGTGCCCCTGGGCTTAACAGCAAGCGGCAAAGAGCCAAGTGCTGTCGGCCGCGTATTACATGACCGGCCACAGCCACCCCTCTCCCCACGGCCCGAATCACAAGAACTGTAGAGCATCGTTTATGAACCGGGATCTGAGCTGGGCCACCATGGGGTAGAGACCCAGGAGCATTTGGCAGCCCATGGTAGGAGAGGGCGGATGGCTACTCAGGCTGGGTGTCAACCCAGTCCCATCCCTGCCAAGCTGCATAATTGGGAGAGGGATCCAGGCTCCTCTGGCCAGGAACTGGCTGAGCTGCGTTCATGTCACAAAGGGGGAATTCAGCAGGGCCCCTCCGTGAAGCCAAGGCCCATGGTACTTCTGTCACTGAGCTGGAGTCTCAGGCAGAGGGCAGAAAAAGCCTCTGAGCACCAGCCCTGCAGCTGCCCCTGGCCTGTCTGGGAGAGAGTTTCAGGTCACCTCCCCGTGCACACAGGGTCAAAAGGTGCCAGGTCCTGTTCCAGCGGAGCCCCTCACCTCTTAGCTTTGCCACTGAGTTATGAGCAATGTACAAATGAGTCGTAAAGGTAGAAGAGAGGGCAGGAGGATGGCCTGGGCCAGAGGACTGGGGGGAGAAAGCGGAGGAAAGGACAAGGCTGGCAAGGTGTGCATGGTATGTCTGTTACTTTTCTCTTCTTGCTGAGACAAAATACCCGACACTCAAAATTAGGGAAGGTTAGCTCACGGTTTGTGGAGGTTTTAGTCTGTAAGCAGCTGGCTCCAAGACAGGGTGGCCTGGCAAGGGGGCAGAAGACAGCAAAAGCAGTCAGAGCACAAACGGGTAAGAGCAAGCCTCTTTTCTCCCCCATTATAAGCAGGCTACTACGCCCTAGGGTGGTCGTATGTAATACTCACACCATCTCTGTGCCCTCCTTTTGTACAGGATGAAGTGTTTACAAAGTGAGGCCTCTGGTCCCTGCTGGATCACTTAGTTAAACTTCTAAACTTCTCAAGTTGACACAAATGTATCAACCATTACAGTGGCTATAACCCCAGCACTCTAGGAGGCTGAGGCAGGAAGATTACAAATTTGAGCTTGATCTAGGCAATTCAGTGACTTACCAGGGCTGTGTCTTAAAATAAAACATTCAAAACAGGTTGGGGTGAGTAATGTACAAGGGCAAGGCAGGGTGTTAACCATAACAGTGAGAATCAGAGTGCCAGCCGCAGCATTGAAGGAAGCCAGCAGCAGCTGACACCCAGCCTGAATCTGGGAATCTGGTCTTTTTCTAAACTCACCCGGCCCTGATAGGCATCCTGCATTCAGAGTGACAGCTCTGAAGTCACCCGCTGGGGAGCGGTGGAATCAAGACTCACAATCAAGTCTGCTGAAGTCACCCTGTGTGCGGAGCCACGCTGGCTTCCGCAAGGGTGTGGTGTGTGCCCTGGTCATGCCCTGGGCCAGCCAGACAAGTCCCACAAAGGGCTGTCAACACAAAAGCATGAAAGAGAACAGATGAATTTTTCTTTGAGTCTTTGAAGATTTTGCTGTAATTCCTGGCCCCTACTGTGTGCCAGGGGCTTTGGGTGCCCCAGACCCGACATATATTCCAGTCCTGCAGGAGACAGACTGTGCAGAGGTGTGTAAAGTCACTTTGTGCCCAGTCATTGCTACAGCAAAATACCCGAGGCCAAAGACTTTATAAAGTGAAGAGGTTGTTTAGCTCCCAGTGTTCGGAGCTGAGTATCCGAGATCTGAAATCTTTCTGCTCGGCTGCTGGTGAGGCACCCTGGCTATGTTACCTATTACAACTGATGGTCTCATCATGGACGCGTGTTGAAAGGGGATGATCCCACGGTAAGATAGGAAGCCTGAGAGATTCAGGCTTACATCAAATGAGGACAGCCTGCTCTGGTGGGAACTGACCAGCACCCCATGAGAACTATTAGTTCCTCCTGAGAGCAGTACCCTCTTCCACTAGGCCCACCATCAACACTACCATACTGGGCAAAGACCTTCCAACACGGGACACTCTCCAGCAGTATCTGACCTATAGCAACCCTTTCATAATTAATCTTTTTGATGTACAGATAGGGATGCTTAGGTTCAGGGAGGTAAAGCCGTTTTCCCAAAGTCACACAGTGAGCACGAGGCAGGGATAAACTATCTGATCTTAAATCCCATGTTTTTAAACCTACTGCAAAAAGAGGACCCTACAAAAAGAGGCTCAAAGTACAAATTTGAGGAGGTTGGGGGAAAGGGAACAGCTCTGTGAGGCCTTGGTGTGCCTGTTTCTAGAGTATAGTTTGGTGGCAGGAGAAGGGAGAGACCAGAGATGGAGAAGTGGCTTCCCAGAATGCACCACGGCAGGCAGGGAAATGCTACCGCTCCCCTCCCCCACCGCAGTGTAAGCTGTAAGTGAAACTGACAGAACCTGACACACAGGGCTGCTGGCTAATCTATTTAGGCCTGAGTGCAGTTGAGGAAGTCAGGCTCATCCTGCAGCCCGCAGAGCCTGTAAATCGGGAGGCAGGTGGAGAGCCACGCGTCTTTCTTGCTAGCTTGGCACAGCAGCTTTCTCTGGGCAGGCACCTGGCGAGCAGCCTATTCAGGAGACTGGCACAGGGCAGCCAGTCTTGAGGTTCCAGGTGCATTCAATGCTTCTCGGGAAATGTGCCATCTCTGGGTTTGTCTCTACCATCCTGGAGCGGACGGATAACGGCAGCAGGTCCCTGCCGCTGTCATTTCTAAGTAAGGAGACACTTGGGACCATCTCCAGGCCTGGCCAGGGGCCTCCCTGCAGGTGAGCCGCTGCTGGCCGGTCACTCTGGCAAGGAGGCCACATGCAGGCATGGACACCAGGCCGCCCCAAGTCCATGCTCAGCAGAGTGGAGCTCACTGTCCAGCCCACAACCATAAGAGGCAGCACAGTCACCCCTACCTTAGCCACTTTATTGAGGAGCATACTGAGACCCAGAGAGGCCAAGACCCTTGTCCCACTTGTCAGTGTAGGAAGCAGAAGTCCCTGACTGCACAGCCTTCCTGGTGCATGGAGAGGCCACAGCACAGCCTTCAGGACAGACCCCCGGCAGGCAGACTCCCTTCGCAAGGCTGGCTCCGCTCCAATCTGGGCACGGCCGGGAGATGCTGGGGACTTCAGTGATCTTGGCCCGGGCCTGAGGTGGGCAGATGGGGGCGGGGGAGAGGCTGGCCTGCCCGCC